TAATATAAAAAAATTATCAAACATATATATATATCTAAAAATATTATATAACTACACAAAAATATTTTTAATCGCAATCTCAAATACACCCTAAAAGTGAATGTGCATAAACGGAGCCCTAAAACCATTAGAAAACAGAAAGAAAAAAAAAAAGGGAAAGTAAGGACCTCAACTGACCCGTCGTTAAACAAAGGTTAAATGTCAATTTTAGTCCCTTAACTTTAAGTTTTATATAATTTTTATCTCTTAACCTTTTTTTTCTCTTTTAATCTATTAATTATGAAAAATGCATTTTTTTAATCCTTTCATTAATTAATCTGTTAAATTTATATGAATTTATATATTTTTAGTCCATTAACTTTTAATATATGCATATTTTAAATTAAGAAACTAAAAATATACATATTTAGATAAACTTAACGAATTAACTGATAAAAAATTAAAAAAATGTATTTTTCATAATTAAGAGATCAAAAAAATATTAAAAAAATTAATGGATGAAAATATATAAAATTTTAAAGTTGAGGGACCAAAAATAACATTTAACCTTAAACAAATTGGGCCGCAATTATAGTTTTTATACCACAAGGAAAAAACCAAAAACACGAAGAACACAAAAACTCAACACTCTCAGTACTCAGGCAAACGTCTTACTTCACAACAATCATGGCTTCTAATGTTATGAATACCAAACCCAACGCTAGCACCGTCGTCACCAGTTCGGCCAAGGCAATGAGTCTTCCCAAGAGGGCTTATGTCACCTTCTTGGCTGGAAACGGTGACGATGTGAAGGGAGTGACGGGTTTGGCCAAGGGGCTGAGGAAGGTCAAGAGCAAGTACCCACTTGTAGTGGCCGTCCTACCAGACGTTCCGGAGGAACACCGGAAGCTACTGCATGACTCAGAGTGCAAAGTGAAGGAGATTGAGCCGGTGTATCCACTCAAGAACCAGACACCGTCAGTCATGGCCTCCCATGATCATATCAAGTACTCCAAGCTCCGTATCTGGCAAGTAAGTACAACCTCTTACATAAATTGTGAAATGTAATCCTTCTTTCTAAGTAACTTTATTGTTGTGAGGCTTTATTAGTTGTGAAATTTGCAGTTTGTGGAGTACAGCAAGATGATATACTTGGAAGGAGATGTTCAGGTGTACTCCAACATCGACGATCTTTTTGACCTTAACGACGGCTACATTTACGCCCCGCGTTTTCCGTGGCCGGAATTTCTCAAGTGGCCTACAGAATTCGGTACTCCGAGACCTTGCTGCTACTTTAATGCCAGCATGTTTGTCTTTGAACCCGGAGCCTCCATCTTTGATGATCTATTGAAGACAATCGCAAGCATTCCTCCGATCCCTCTCACCGAGCAGGTAAAACAACTTTGAACCCTGAGGAACCGT